GCCAATGGAGAGTGTGGGTAAAAAAAATGGTAAAGTTTAGATACAATCCGTACAGTGTTGCTTCAGACTGCACATTGCGTAGGTATTCTTCTACCGGCTGTAGTGTTTTGGGTTTGGGGTTTAGGGTTTAGGGTTTAAGCTTTAGGGTTTAAGGCCTCTCCAGAGTCACATATAGGTTCGGGCTCGTAGATTTTCAGGTCCAAGTGCTCAGGGTTTAGGGTTTAGGGGCAATAGGTCTGGGCTCAGGGGAACCACGGGTTGCGAGCCATCGATGAGCAATACCGTTCGTGAGCTTTCCGTAACCCCATACCTTATGAAATTGTGATTTCTGAACATAGAGTACGGGCCCCCGACGCCCCATGGTAATGAATCAGGCCTCTCCCCTACAGGTGTCTCGTCGAAAGCCTGGGAGACCCTATACTCAGTACACTTATACTAATTACGATAAGACTGAAAGTGTGCACTTTTCTGGGCTTATGAACTCAGCAACTAAGTATAAGTAGTAAGATCTTAGGTTTGCGCTGGCAACTCGGAGGGGATGTTTAGGTTCACCTTCGCGCACAGCTAGGAAATTAGGCTTGTGTCAGGCCCTTCCTCTGGCAGTGGAGGTTGCGCCTCTCGAAGTGCATTTGAGAAGGGTCTTTGGGCAGAATGCAGACACAGCAGTTGTACACTCAGCATGACCACAGCAATAACAACAGCAACAGCAACAGCAACAGCAACAGCAACAGCAACAGCAACAGCAACAGCAACAGCAACAGCAACAGCAAGAGCAGGAGCAGGAGCAGGAGCAGGAGCAGGAGCAGGAGCAGGAGCAGGAGCAGGAGCAGGAGCAGGAGCAGGAGCAGGAGCAGGAGCCAGAGCAAGAGTAAGAGCAAGAGCAAGAGCAAGAGCAACAGCAACAACACATGGTATAGATTTCCGAAGAAACCCCGCATACACTCATCAACGTAGCAAATGCAGCGTTGACTTCAGCACTATCTCAAATAGCTGAGCTTCAGGAACATCAAAACACTACTAGAGGGACCTAAATAATTACCAACACTATTTTGGGGGGGGGCTCCTTATTATAGTTATGGTTTAATATACCCCAAACCCTATTCCAATTATTCAGGCCCCTACATTACGCGCCAAAAGCAACTGAAGGGAGTTGATGTCTGGGGCCCTAAACCCTAAACCCTAGATGTGTTGGAGTCGAGAGAACTTGTTCTCAAGCACGGTTCCCTGGACGCACTTTCTGTTCATGGAGGGGTTTAGGGTTTAATTAGGGTTGAGTTTACATTGGGGACTGCAGTGAGAAACCGCAACAAGGATCCTGATTTCTGCCAACATCCAACGGCTTTAGTTGCAGTCTCGCCACAGCAGCTCGATGTTTGTGCCGTGTCCCAGTAGGCGGAGATGGTAGGTGGAAAAAGGGCTCTAAACATCACCTCCGAATACCAAATCCTGAACCCTAAACCCTAAACCACCAAGCCGTGAGACATACCATTGGACCATGCGGCCGGGGACCAACACCCAAGAGGGATACTTATTGGAGGTACTTTAAAGTGGACCATAAGAGTATAGGATTTAGAGTGTATAGGGTTTAGGATTTAGGGGAATAGGGAGCTGGACCCTAAATTGTGAGTTCCATGCGCTCGTAAATCCTAAGCCCCTTCATCCCAATTGCTGCATGAATCCTCAACACCCTACACCTCAAACTTGAGCTGTGTTACCCCAAGCTTCAAAACATCTAAAACCACAGCCCCAGCCTAACCCAACAATTCCGAACCCGCAACACCCGACACTCCGAGCCTTTTGTGTTTGTAGGGGTTTAGGGTTTAGGCTTCTGGCTCTTCCCAAATCTTAAGCCTTGATTGCAGGGCTTAGGGCTTTTAGGGTTCAGGGGCTCAGGGTCAGGGGCTTAGATGAAAAAGGCATTTATGCAGCTGCCAAAAAAAAGTGAGCTTTTCAGAGAATAACATGAGGGATATTACAGCGCCGACCATATAGGACCTCAATACATAAACGTATAGACCTATACCTTATCCCAAAACAGCACTAAGGTTTTACTTGCCCCTAAACCCCATTGAATCCCAAAGACTACTGTAAAACCTTGACCCTGTACCAAAATATGGAGGCCTGAATGATTACCTATACTTCTTTGGGGCTCCTTGTTTAAATTATAGTATAATATGCCCAAAAGCCTATTCTAGTTGTTAAGGCTTCTACTATGCCAAGGTCTTCCTTGCCCCTCACCTTCCTCTTCTTGGTGGCAACGCGGCTCTGTGCGCACGGCGCGGCGTTGACGGAGAAGTGCCGCACCTCGGAAAAGCCACCCTAAACCCCAAACCCTAAACCCTAAGCAGCTTAACAGACAGGCCTGAACACGTAGTGAATCCCACCCTCAACTTCAAGTTCCTAGTTATACAAGTACGCTATATAGTTTAACCCAGAACGGTTTCGCAATAATTATGGGAGTCTGGTTAGATTCCATAACATGGATATAGTCGTAGATGCACCACCAACACCGCCGTATAGTTATTAATGGTTCTATACTAGAGCCGAGGGTGCAAGACTTCTGGTGCAGGTTTTGGGTTGTGCAGATGACAGCAACCTCGGAGAGTCCGAAAAGACGTGGTGCTCGCCGAGACTTCAGACCCCCGCCTACTCAAAGCCCTGTATACTTATTCCCTTGCGTACATACATGGCATACATACAGACAGACATACTGACATGCAGACATACAGGCGGACAGACAGACAGACAGAAACAGAGACAGGCAGGCAGGCCGGCAGGCAGGCAGGCAGGCAGACAGACAGACAGTGTTTTTTTTGTAGCAATGTATGTATATGTACATGTATATATATATATATATGTATATATATATATATATGTATATATATATGTATATATATGTATATATGTATATATGTATATAGAAAAATTCGCAACCAAACGGTTGTGCGCTGTGCGTTCTGCACCCC